CACTATCTAATGAACGGAACAATAGAAACAAGTCAATCTTGGTACCAAGAACACTATCTAATGAACGGAACAATAGAAACAAGTCAATCTTGGTACCAAGAAGACTAACTAATGAACGGCACAATAGAAACAAGTCAATCTTGGTACCAAGAAGACTAACTAATGAACAGCACAATAGAAACAAGTCAATCTTGGTACCAAGAACACTATCTAATGAACGGCACAATAGAAACAAGTCAATCTTGGTACCAAGAACACTATCTAATGAACGGAACAATAGAAACAAGTCAATCTTGGTACCAAGAACACTATCTGATGAACGGAACAATAGAAACAAGTCAATCTTGGAACCAAGAACACTATCTAATGAACGGAACAATAGAAACAAGTCAATCTTGGTACCAAGAACACTATCTAATGAACGGAACAATAGAAACAAGTCAATCTTGGACCAAGAACACTATCTAATGAACGGAACAATAGAAACAAGTCAATCTTGGTACCAAGAACACTATCTAATGAACAGAACAATAGAAACAAGTCAATCTTGGTACCAAGAACACTATCCTTATAACTTAGTGACCTGATTGATTCGTGGCTTATTCGTATTCATGGCTTAATTGCATTCTATAAAAACTGTTCTGAATATATTTGTTATGCCATTAAGGAACTTAATTGGATAATTAATGTGGCAATTTAAAATTATTTTAATCTTACGAACATAAATGCAACATATTATTTTAATTCGCTTGATCTTTCATTTCTCTCGAGGCGGTAATAACAAAACTATTACAAGTTATATTCTTCTGTTTAGCTTTCCTGTTTACATTTAACTGTTCAACTTCTGGTCAACTGAACAGAACGGAAATTGTAAAAGTGGCAAACACAATATATGAAGTTTTTACTTCAAACATGAATATAAGATTCTCTTACCACTGAATTTTCTGATGTGAAGTTATGTTGTAAGATAGTGTTTAATTAGTTAGAACTAAAACTTTTACAACACTGTTTTACCACAGTGAAAAATATTCGATTAAAAGCGAATTTCATATCAGAAACTAGCTGTTTTACTATTGTGAAACAAATTTTCTCACAACTGAACTTCATATCAGAAATTAACTGTTTTATCACAATGAAAGAATTTATATCACGAAAGAACTTCACATAAGAAAATAAGTGTTCTAACAAAATGAAACAAATTCTCTAACAAATGAACTGTTTTATCACATTAAAAAATTCTCTTCCAACCAAAGTTCACATCAGAAATTAACTGTTTACCACAGTGAAAAGAAAGGAAACTTCTTTAGAATTGAGACGTTAGTTAGGAAATTCTTCTTTTTGTGCAAGCAGACAAAAGAAACCAATACAAACTTAGAGCCACTAAAACGTTTAATTTAAATAACCGTAACATTAATGTTCCAATATTTCCAGAAAGCTCCCTCTTTAATAATTATAATTGCGCCTTTTGGTTTTACTCACAGCTGCTATTAATTTTCTATTGTCTTGTTTCTTTAAAAGGGTTATTCCATATAATCCAGAAGATAAGTTGCATCGTTTACATCCCAATACGTTTAAAACATGTTTGGTATTTTTGTATAATCGTTTCATTTACTGTGCAAACAGTTCTAAACTTTCAACAAAATAAAAATCATATATTGTATTCGACGAATAAGATAACATCATGTTAGCTGATTGGATAGTTAGTTATGTACAATAACAGAAAAAGACTGAACTATACATTACAATGCTACTCTTTCCACAGAGGTTTGAAATGTTGTTTTATATATATATATATATATATATATATATATTATACTAATATTGCTACCGTTAATTTATAAAAGAATCTTTTCCAATTTATAGTAATGTGGTTTTTATAGTGTAAATTTAGATCTGTCTTTTTTCTTTTCTCTGGGGATCATTTTGTTTGTTTGTTTATTGCAAGCACAAAGCTACACAAGGGGCTATCTGTGTTGTGCCCACCATGGGTATTGAAACCCATATTTTAGCGTTATAAGCCATCATACTTACCACTGAGCCACTGGCGAGCAGGGAACATAATATTTTCTGCAGATAAGCATATCTCAAAAATAATAACTAAGAATAGTTAAAAACCGTGATACGAGAGAACTTAGACCACAAATAAATTGTGTGTGATTTATATTATATTTCGAAAAAGGTATGAATTTGTAATGTTATAAATGATAATTGAATTTAAGTCACGAATAAAACGAATATTAAGAAGTGAAAGCTTGAGACAGTCGCTCACATTAAAGTGTGTTTGTTTATGTTATATTACGAGTTTCCTTTTGTGTCAGATAGAATAACAAGTTTAATTACTAAGGCATACTCGTCATGCTCTCTTGTGAAACCTTCTTTGTGATTCTCTATTCTAGATCTTGAGGGCGCTTTGAGTCAGTGCAGACAGTAACGTCATCACACGCAGTTTTCCAGGTTAGAAATAAATTGAAATGAGTCGAGCGCTTGTGTCATCACAACCTGTGGCATCCACCGGTACTGCTTGTAAATTACTGTACTTTAGTCGATACGAGTAGTTCCACCAGAACCCGCTCGTGGCGCTCGTAGCTCCATTTTTCAGGAACAAGCGAAGTTTCCGGATTGACTACCACAAAGGCTATGGGAGTGTTAGGCAAGGATGAGAATGCAGCTGACCCCCATCCACTCCATACCCATCAGGTTTACCCACCTGAAGGTAAGAGATTCTGTCAAGTCATGAATTTGACGCCTTTGTTATTATTTATTATAAGTCTAAAGTACAGATAGTGTATATTAGAAATACCTAAAATAAAATGTAATAGTTGATGTTATCTCCACATCTACGTAGTATTTAAAAGCAAAAAAAATAGTTATTTAAACTTACTACTCTAGCATTAGAAGCAATGATATCAAAGTAGGAACTTCCACTATCTAGAATTGTTCCTAACAATATGTGTAGAAATACCGAGAAACAAATATAAAACTCATGAGAATAACATTATTTTATCCAAATTGTTTTAATGATACATATATAATTAAAGTAAACAACGAATGGATGGTGGATGATAATATCCAGTTTACAAAGTTTCTCACTCCAAGCTCATTCTTATTTTAATACGTGAAAATAATTGTTATAGCATTTTGTACTATCCATTAAAACTCCTGTACTGATTGTTTAATTAAGTACATTATTGTCTGGCTGTTCAACTTCCCTCTAACGTATTTACATTGCCTTAAATCCTATATACTGACTGTTTAGATGTATTTTTTATACTTATTTATTTCTTATGTGGCCTCTCCTTCCCTTTTCTGTAGCTTATACATTTATGTTTAGTTACTATTTTATACATGATATCTATATTACATATGTCAACCACACTTTATCTGCTATATCCACCGCTGGCGAGTCCTTTCACCTGATATCAGGGCTCTTCAGGCCGTTAGAGATACATCAGTTATAGTAGTGGTTGAGACGCCGTTTACATATTACCAACTTGTGCAAGAAAGGCAAAACACTAAACAACTCAAATTATCATGTTTACTTATTCACGAAACAAATTAACCCTGGTGAATAAATCAAGTGTAAGATTTTAGTTTTACTCCTGAATGAAAATGAAAACAAGGAAACTAATTATAAGCACTTGTCAACAATGCATTGAATCTACGTATTCCAACATCAAAATACGTATAAGGAATAAACCAAACTAATTTCTAATATACAACACTTTCACAGCTCTAATGTTAGATCAAACAAGCTAAAATATATTTCAGTTATCAAATTGGTTCCAAAGATACACAAAACCGCAATTAAGTTGTTTATGAGTCAGTTTGATATTTCTCTCAGAATACCAAAAAAAGTCAGTTTGTCACAATTCAGAGTAGCGTTATTTTGTAGAAATTTCTGATTCGAATTTGTAAGACATAATTAAAAAACAAACAGAATTAAACAGTGACTCGTAACTGTGAAGGATGTTATACCTTTCTGCTTGTCTACAGTTTGTCTCAGCAAAATGTTACCAATGTAAAGCAGATTTACCTTGTAATTTTTCTACCCTGGTCCACGTATTCCCATAAAAAAAAAACACGCAGCAATTTCCAGCGCTGTTTCACGTACAATCTATCTGTCATTTTTCTACAGCACCTGAAATGTAAGTGATCTCATTAATGTCACGTCTTGGTAAGGAACCCTGACAAAAAGTGCTTTTCTCACGACAAACGCACACTTAAATAAAAGCCCCCCCCCCAGTGGCACAGCGGTATGTATGCGGACTTACAACGCTAGAATCCGGGTTTCGATACCCGTGGGGGGCAGAGCACAGATAGCCCATTGTGTAACTTTGTGTTTAATTACAAACAAAAACACTTGAATAAAGACACAGATACAAAGTTTTTAGAACAATTATAGGTTAAAACAATCTATTCCGTGGAAACTTTCTTCTTTGGCAACTGTATAGACTATCGTAACTCTTTTGATGATCCATTGTGACCAACTGCTAAATATCACATGTTATTTTAAACTCTTAAATATATTTTCTTCTGTTTCTAACGATTTCGATCCGATTTATCATTATATTGAGTTCTGAACCAGTTTTGGTCTGTCCAAAGTTTCTGTGCTACGAAGAAAAAATGTGTGATATTTTACTGTATACTTACAGACAATATCAATTTGTGTTAACTTTTCTTGTTTTCTAAGTTACTGCAAACGATATATGTAACTATTCTTGTTTTGTGGACAACCGCAAGCACTTTATGCTCTTATAAAAATTTTAATGGTGTGAACACGAAACGTGATTATAATAAATTATATTTGTGATACGAGAATAGTGTTAAGCTTATTATATTTTTAACACTAGATTCTGTATTCGGTCCCTCAGGGTTTCTTTTTTTTAGAAGAATAGCGTATAAGAGTATTTCAACCGGATAAAGAATATAGTGTGTGTGTGAGCTATTCTTATTTTGTGAATAACTAAAAACAATACAAGTGTTTGAATTATCTTTATTTTGTTAATAGTTACAAATAATATATGTTTGTGAGCTGTCCTTATTTTGTGGATAACTAAAAACAGTATGTGTGTTTGAACTGTCCTTATTTTATGGATAACTAAAAACAATGTGTGTGTTTGAACTGTCCTATTTTGTGGATAACTAAAAACAGTATGTGTGTTTGAACTGTCCTTATTTTGTAGATAACTAAAAACAATATGTGTGTTTGAACTGTCCTTATTTTGTGGATAACTAAAAACAGTATGTGTGTTTGAACTGTCCTTATTTTGTAGATAACTAAAAACAGTATGTGTGTTTTGAACTGTTCTTATTTTGTGGATAACTAAAAACAGTATGTGTGTTTGAACTGTCCTTATTTTGTGGATAACTAAAAACAATGTGTGTGTTTGAACTGTTCTTATTTTGTGGTTAACTAAAAACAATATATGTGTTTGAACTGTCCTTATTTTGTTAATAAATACAAGCAATACACGTGTTTGTATTGTCCTTATTTTGTTAATAAATACAAGCAATACACGTGTTTGTATTGTCTTTATTTTGTGTATATATACAAACACATACAAAATATACAGTAACCCTATATATATATATATATTTGAGCTGTGATGAACACAGGAATATTCAAACCCTATATATATCATTTTCTTTTCTCGATTAGTATAAACAATATATGCTGTGAAATAGTTGCGTTCTTCGTACATTAATCACATGTGTATATTCTTCTCATTTGTCTATAAGTGTGTTAATAGCCCAGACAAATGTTATCTGAATGATCGCATACACAATAGTTTTGTGTATTAACTATTCTTTTTATTTGAAAAATAAAACACTATTGCATGTGGATAAATTACCCTAGTTTTATGAATATTAAACAATAACATTAATTCACTTTTGTGTTAATGTTTCCTCTCTTTTTTGTCTAATAAGACATAACACGCAGTTATGTAAGTAACTGTATTGTGCACTAAAAACATACATTTATGTAGTGCTTCCTGCGTTCTGGTTGGTAACACAAACTTTTTTAAATTATCCCTGTGTTGTGGATGAGAACACAAAATGCTCGTCTGTTCAGGATCATAATAGAAAAATGTTTATTTGTGCCTTTATAAATTATCCCTGCGTTCTGGATTATAACATAAAATATTTGTATATATATATATCCCTAAATTACTTCCGTGTTATCAATTATTTGAAAACATTTGTGTTTTTCTTAATTATTCTTGTATCATGAATGATAACATATAATTTGCTGTATGTTTGTAAGTTATTTCTCTGCTCTGGATGACAGAAAAATACGCCAAGGTATTCGTAAATTATCCCTGCATTCAGGATTATAACATAAAATATGTATGAGCGTTTTATAAATCATTTCTGTATTCTGAATGAAGAAACAAAACACGCAAGAGTATGTTTATAAATTATTTTTGTGTTCTTAACGATAACACAAAATTTGCATGTGCTGTTTGTAAATTACTCTAAAGTTATTAATGATAACACAACTTTGCGTGTAATGTTTGTAAATTACTCCTGTAATCTGGAAAATAACACAAAACACGCGCGTGTGTGTTGATAAAATATTCCTGGTTTTGGATGAAGCACAATATATGCGTGTGTGGGTGTGATTAAGTTACTTCTATGTTCTGGATAAGAATAACTGGATACACGTTATCCATATGATCACGTATAACTGGTTTCTGTTTTCTAAAGAGTAATGCATCCACATTAGAATCGCTGATCACGTACATACTTATATATAACGTGAAGCCATAGTGTCTTATTGCGCAAACAACAGTGACATGATATCAGATCAATACGTTCAGCCTGTATCTGTCGGTTCCATATAGTGTTGTAAGAGATATTCTTACTATGCTGGACAGAATATGACCGCCCTCCAGAGATGCGACAAGATCATTTCCCTGGCTTTTACGGTATCATTAGCAATTCATCATTACCCGCGACACTAAGTCATTAAATATATCGTGTCTAATTTCACATCATTCACCAAGCCAACTTCAATCAGTACACATGATAATAGTCCTTAAAGCATAGCTTTAAGACATAAAGATTTTTCACAAAAATTTAAGAGCAGGAAATAAAAGGAAATAAGGAAATAAAAATGAAAATATTTCTAGAAATTTGACGGTGGCCTTCTTATATTCATCTTCAATATACAACTGCTATTTGTTAATATAGAGATCCGTTTCGAGCTCACGCATAAAGGTTTTAGTGAACAGCTGGTGTGTCTAGAACTCCGTCAAAAATTATTTATATCAAATCTAACAAGTTAAGTTTGGTGTATTGTTTCTGCTTTTTTTTTTTTTACAACTTCCTCATTATATGAGTTTGCGTATTTTTAAAATATTTGGAGTCCATTGTATCATGCCCCCACAGCATCTCCAAAGAAGTACCAGATTTATGATATTGAAATTGGTGAATGAAATATATGCATATATATAAGACTCGAGGAGGAGATTGAAAGTTTAAGCCTAAGATGTCTTTTTACTGTTTCCTAGGAAACACCATACAACAAATGCTGATCACGTAAGTAAAGTCATTTGAATAATCACAATAAGTTATGAACTGAAATAAAAAGCCAGAATAAACTTGTCTGTAACTAATGAAGATCAAACTGAAGAACAGATAAAATATTTGCATCTTCTTAATTCCCCCCGGTGGGTCAGCAGTAAGTTTAATAGCTTTCAAAGCAAAATTTCTTTGTTTTATTCCCTGCGGAAAACAGAGTGCTTATAGTCCATTGTGTAGCTTTTTCCGAAAATAAAACAACTTTCTAATAAAGGCTTAGTACTGAACCCTTGCGTAATATAATTAACTTTACCATCTTTGTTATTTATTTTTATCATTACTTTTTATCACTGGATTTTTTTGTACCTATTCATAATCTTTCAATAAATATATGTCTTTCTACTATAACCCATTTTCTAAATGTTGAATTGCGTTTCCAATGGAGATACTTTACATTTCTCATCCTGTATTGAACATTGGTTATTTTCACAAGTTTACATAACCCAATATCCCACATAATACAGTTACCTGGTGATTTCCACTACTACGTCAAAGGAACTTGGTCACGCACCGTCATTTAGCGATATTGATCTGTGAATACCAGACGATTGTAAGACAAAGTCGCTACATAAAGATTCAAAATACAAGGTTAACATAATAAAGACGGCAAGGTGCCCGATCTTAAAAGATATTATTTAATTTGAAAATATATCCGTAAATCTGTTCTAATCTTAACGTGGGTAACTTTCCTGGGCATCATCAAGAATGTGTAGCGGAGTAAACGTAATACAGTGGACGTAATTTCAATGTGTCAGAAACGTTACGTTCTAATTATTCTTTTGAGACATAATTATCAGTGGATTATAATTACATATATAATTAATACACTACGATCAAGTGCGCGTACGCGCGCACACATATACAAACTAGAGGTAAAAGTTAAGTATTTGGTACGTTTCTAAAGCTAGTGAATAAGACTCGTATATACATATCATAGTTTTGGTAAGTTGTGTATATTGAGCAAGAATGCGTTTAATGTGTTTCAAAATGTTTTCTGAAAGAACTCAAAAGCTAGTTTCTGAATAGAAAAAGAGCAAACCAATCAATATCATTTTATAACTTTATAGTAGGATTTATCTATGAGCGGCACCAATGGCATTTTTCACTTAATCTTGTTTTTGCTGACAACTTTTCGCAGCAATAAAGCTTGTTTTGGAATTTGGGGCTTAGCAAATAGTTGGAAAGCAATGAAAAATATTAGACAAGGTAGAAATATATGAATAACCCAATAGAATGAAATTCCATTTCTGTGGAAGGGCAGTTTTTTTTATGCCAGACGTTATATCTTTTGACTGCTATAGGCTGCCCAGTTGTTACTGTACCACATGTGTAGCAGTCGCTTTAGCTGTGGGTTATAAAACCGTAAAACGTTCACCGTACAAAAAAGACGACAGAATCTAGGCATTCTTTCAGAACACCAAATATTTTACTCAAAAACAGATATTTTTTCATCGCTAAATACCAGTATTTCAAACATACAAAAATACATATTGTGATCCTGACTTTTGTAGCACAAAGCTTAAACGCAACTATTATATCTACGAAATGTTTTAATGAGATGTAAAATTATACTACTGATATTACTGAATATCCGGTAAGTGTTTCATTGAGATGTAAAATTGTACTACTGATATTACTGAATATCCGGCAAGTGTTTCATTGAGATGTAAAATTGTACTACTGATATTACTGAATATCCAGTAAGTGTTTCATTGAGATGTAAAATTGTACTACTGATATTACTGAATATCCGGCAAGTGTTTCATTGAGATGTAAAATTGTACTACTGATATTACTGAATATCCAGTAAGTGTTTCATTCAGATTTAAAATTGTACTACTGATATTACTGAATATCCAGTAAGTGTTTCATTGAGATGTAAAATTTCGTCATTTTGAAACTATAAAGTTACAAGTGGATAATAATTTTTATTTTTCGTATTTATTTTTGGGAATGCACATTTTCGAAACACTTTTTAAAAAATGCAAAATTACAAGTCAGTTTGTATTTCTTTTGTGTATTTACTTGATTTGAACTCATCTAATGTGTTACAGATTGACTTGTTTGTTTGTTTGTTTTTAATTATGCACAAAGCTACACAAGGGCTATCTGTGCTCTGCCCACCACGGGTATCGAAACCCGGTTTCTAGCGTTGTAAGTCCGCAGATATACCGCTGTGCCACTGAGGGGCACAGATTGACTTAGTTGATAAAAAATTACACACACTAAATCTGCAAAGTTTACACTAAATCTGAAACCATCTAATATTTTAATGGTGTAAACTCCGTATAAAAAAATCTTGTTTTAAAAAGTGCCGCTTTTAGAAAATATTAGATCTTTCTGGTTTTTTCAATAACTTAATAAATAAAGCATTAAAATATTTAATCATTGCTAAAATTTAAACTAATATTGAATATGATATACGAATTTTTGATACAAGACTCGAGTAGATCTTGGTGAATAGTTCTTAATTAATTTAAATATAACAAGTAATAATATTAAAAATTTCTTTGGATCACAGATACCTAGCAAACGACACTGATTATGTAACTTCATTGTTTCTGTGTGTTAGCAGTTACCTAACATTGTTTACGGGTGTTAATATACTTCAATTTTTTATTATCTTAACACCTATCAGTCATTGTTTTTGTGTGTTTTTAGCTGTTAATCTCTGTTTTTGTGTTTTTTTATGTATTAGCAGTTACGCCCCCCAGTGGCACAGTGGTATGTCTGCGGACTTACAACGCTAGAAACCGGGTTTCGATAACCGTGGTGGGCAGAGCACACATAGCTATTGTATAGCTTTGTGCATAATTAAAAACAAACAAACAATTAGCAGCTACTAATTGTTGTTTCTGTATTGTAGTACCTACTAATCAATGTATGTTAATCTTACCAGTTAGCAATAATTATATTTGTATGTTAGCAACTACCAATATTTTTATTTATGGTAATAGCCGTCAATCACTGTTATACATACTAGCACTATGTTATATTTGTTAGAAACTATAAATCATTGTTATGAGTTATCGATCATCACTTCTGTTTTCTTACTAGGAGTCGCCAATCATTGTTCTTGAACGTTATAAATTATCATTCGTTGTTTCTGTATACTAGCAGTCACCAATCATTGTTCATGCATGTTAGAAGTTATCAGTCGTTGTTTCTGTATACTAGCAATCATTGTTCTTGTATGCTAGAAGTTGCCAATCGTTGTTTCTGTATACTAGCAGTCGCCAATCATTGTTCTTGAACGTTATAAATTATCAGTCGTTGTTTCTCTATACTAGCAATCATTGTTCTTGTATGTTAGAAGTTATCAATTGTTGTTTGTGTATACTAGTAGTCATTAATCATTGTTCTTGTATATCAGAAGTTATCAGTTGTTGTTTCTCTATTCTAGCAGTCGCCAATCATTGTTCTCACATGCTAGAAGTTATCAATCGTTGTTTCTGTATATTAGCAGTCATCAATCATTGTTCGTGCATGTTAGAAGTTAACAGTCGTTGTTTCTCTATACTAGCAGTCACCAATCATTGTTCGTGCATGTTAGAAGTTATAAATCGTTGTTTCTGTATACTAGCAGTCACCAATTACTGTTCTTGTATGTTAGAAGTTATCAATCGTTGTTTCTGTATACTAGCAATCATTGTTCTTGTATGTTAGAAGTTATCAATCGTTGTTTCTGTATACTAGCAATCATTGTTCTTGTATGTTAGAAGTTATCAATCGTTGTTTCTGTATACTAGCAATCATTGTTCTTGTATGTTAGAAGTTATCAATCGTTGTTTCTATACACTAGCAATCATTGTTCTTGTATGCTAGAAGTTACCAATCGTTGTTTCTACATACTAGCAATCATTGTTCTTGTATGCTAGAAGTTACCAATCGTTGTTTCTGTACACTAGCAATCATTGTTCTTGTATGTTAGAAGTTATCAATCGTTGTTTCTGTATACTAGGAGTCATCAATCATTGTTCTTGTATGCTAGAAGTTATCAATCGTTGTTTGCTAGCAGTCACAATTCATTATTCTTGTATGTTAGAAGTTATCAATCGTTGTTTCTCTATACTAACAGTCTATTGTTTCTACATTTTAACTGTTACCAGTCATTGTTCGCGAATGTTAGCAACCACAGTTTATTGTTTCTGGGTTTTAATTTGTTTCTATTTGTTAGCAGCTACAGGTTTTCATTTCTAGATGTTAGAAGAAGCTACCAAAGGTTGTTTGTGCGCAGAATTCTTGCCGTTTCACATTTTGAACTATCTAAAAGATTATGTTGCACGGAAACAATTCATATTTTTAATAAGTTAATGCAAAAACTAGGGAGGCGCTACAGTGATATCTCGTTCAGTCGTTAGCTTCTTCACTGCAAGCGTTAAAGCCGTTGTCATGGTTACATTTATCAACAAGTTAAATCAGCTTTGTGTGTTTAGCGCATAAACGTTAGAGCGTCTAATAAATCTGCATAGTCTCTATTTGCCGTATGTTTATTTCGCTCTTAATTTCTCGGCCATATTCGGTTACTAATTCACATAGATTGGTAGAGAAAAGCACACATTATACTCTGAGATAGCCCATCAAATGAAATACTTTCACAGTCTTCAGCGTCTTAATTTGTAATGTATGTTAAGAACCTGCACTAATACTGTGTAATGTAAACGTTTTATTTGGCCTTTTAGATTGATCTTGTGGCTCTTGTGGATTAATGTATAAAATGGAATTCCTTCAATGATGTAAATTGATGTGGTATATTGTTAGTAAATTGAACAACTGTTTAATGAACAATTAAGAGAACATTTGTTCAATGATGTAGTAAAGAGTATATCTGTCTACTTACGTAGAAAGAAAACTCAAAGTGTATTCATATACACTGTTTATAATTCCTATTTCTAATAGAAAACTCTGTTATTCGTACATACAAAAAGTAACTGAATTTCAGAAAGGTTTTAAAATAC